TTCCGGAGCGGGTGGGCGAGGGGCCGGGGGAGGGTTCCGCTGTTGTCGGCCGGCGTGGCGGCGGGGGTTTTGCGCTCCTCAGTTGGCCGCCCGGGCCGGGAGTGCTTTCTCGGAGGAGCTGTTCGGGGCGTTGGCCCCGAGGCAGCCCCCGGTCCCCACGGGGTGCGCTTGGCCGCGCCGCGCTGCGCTGCCCCTCCCCGGCATCCTTCCGGCGGCGGGATGAGGCAACGGCTCTGGGGTTCCTCTGTCCCAGGGGAGAGCTGGGGCCCTCTGGCGCGGCCGCGCCGGTGCCCGTGGGCCGGCCCAGCTCGGCTCTGCGAGGCCTGCCGGCTCTGCGGGAAGAGGAAGTGGTGTTACTGGGGATCAAAGAGGGCCGGGGCTGAGCCTCAGCGTTTCCTCCCGCACGGTGACGGCTTTTCTTGGGCCTTTAGAAACAGACCTCAAGTACGGGGAGGCGCAGGCTACAGCTGCTTCTGTTTCTTGAGACAGAACTCGTGCGGCGGAGAAATGAGCGTGAAGATGAGCAGCGGCAGGGAGGGCTGTTTATGTGCTCTCGGACACCTCTTCACCTAGCCTGGCTTGGTTGGGGTTGTGTAATGAGCAGGGAAAGGGAGAGCTGTTAAGGAAGTCCTAATTCACGTACTGTGCTTCTGTGTGCTGAACAGTGTTTCCTGTTTTGGAGGACAAATGCTTCTATGAACTGCTGTGATTTAGCCAGGTTCCCAAATATGAGCTATTTATGCTTTAATGCTCTTCAAATATAATTGTCTTTTTTCATGTACTTGGCCAATGTCTCTGCGTGTTTATTGTGCTAAGATTAACACTAGTTTTTATACGCTGTTCTCGTCCATAATGATTGGTTTACTTAGCAAATAAAGCAAGATAGCTGTATAACTTTCTTTTAAAAAGTGAAATTACTGTTCTGAAAGCCGTAGAACTTGAGGAGTGTTCTTTCACTTTTGGGTAGCAAAACTTGGCAAGCATTGTGGTGTTAAACAGCTGCTGTTCAGAGGATGAGTGTTGGATTTCAGCCATTATGGCCTCTGCTACAGTGACCTTCAGTTCCAGTCTAGATTTGAAAATTAGTTCAAAACAAGTGTACCTTTCTCTTATGTGGCCTAACCTATCACATAATGAAATGATAACATTTTTATGGCTGAGTTGCTTTGTAACTTAATAACAAAACTCTGCCGAAATCGAAGTGACAGAGCCTAATACGTTCAAAGTTATAAGCTGATTGTAATACGTGGTTGCTACAGGTTGGGGGGGGGGTAAAGGTCTTAGGTGTCTCTCATGTGAAACTTAACTGCTCCTTGGTTTAGTTAGTTATGCAGTTACAAAGTTACACCTGAATGCCTGTTTTAAATTGGAGCGCCAAATATTTTTATCTTGTTACCTTATTCTAGGGAAAGTTTAGCTGAACCTTGTGCCTCTTTTTTAAGGGGTAGTTTTTTCCCCCCCCATCAAGTGCACTATCTCAGTTCTTGTCAAAATACTTAACGTTGCATGTACACGCACACCCCTGACTTGAACCTGCACACCTCAGATGTTCCAATAAAAGGGTATGAAAAACATATTTTTATTTACAAAGGAAACTAACAAAACAAAGACCTTAGCAATGTTTTTTTTAACAGGAGAATGACAGTTGCAGAAAGTAGGACTTAGGGATAGGGCTTAAGGAGCCCCTTAGAAGTTGCCCCTTTTTTTGATAATATACAAGTGGTTGAAAACACTGAAAAGCAGGCAGCGGTTTATGTCAGGATAAGTTTCAACGAGGGGATTTCAAATTATGGAAAGATGCAGTATTCTCTGCACAAAAAAAAAAATCGGAGTTAATGTCTGTAAGATCAGTTTTCTCTTGTGCATTTTGCATTTAGTATGTACAAATTGTGCCTATGCAAATTAATGTTTATTGCTTTGAGATAAACTGTACAAATGCAGAAAGGCCCTTTTAGTAAAATTAAGGACCTTTAAAACCTGTAATTAAACTCATTTTCAAAGGTATTTTAATATCTCTTTGTTTCTAAGTCAGTTTCATATGATTCTGGTGGAGAAACCTGTGATTCTTGAGCAGGTTCTTCTGTTACAGTTTTATCATATGACCAGTAGCAGGGATGTGGTCCCAAAGGGACAGGAGCTGTTGCTTAGTTTTGAGTTTCTTGTTGTGGGAAGGACATGAGCTGGAGGAGGTTTCTGGATTCCATTGGCTCCTGGCTGTACAGCCAGTCTAGCTTTAAACTCATTGCTCAATTGAGTGATGAAGCCCTAGGAAGATTCTGTAATCTGGGGTAAAGGGAATTTTCGAGGTTCCTGCTGTAAAGGAGGTCATGGGAGATTTGTGCATATGATTTGTATGAGGCTTTCATGGAATTTTAAAGAACATTCCTCTAAGGCATGCTCTTGTGTTCTTAGTTTCTGTGAGTTTGGCGGGAGGGAGGGGTGTTCTTGATTTTTGTTGTTTTCGTTTTGTTTTTAATAGAGTGCATGCACATTAGAGTTTTTAATAGAGTGCATGTACATTAGAGTTCTTAATGTAAATAAAAGCGAGGACTGATCAAAAGAGAAAAGCAGGATTTTAAAACTGATGTTAATCTTGTCTTGCACTTGTAGTTTAGTTATTTGTAAAGAAAGATTGCTTTTCATGGGAAACTAATTTGGTTGGTTGTTTTTTTTTTTTTTTTAACAAGGCAGTATTTTATCTGCACTTATGAAAACGATGGAGCCTGACATGCGTTCATTCAGATTAGATATTTTTTTAATTAGTGCTACAAAATCATGACCGATATTTCTAATTTACCCATTTTCAATTTGGATTGACAGTCTAAAAATGTTACATTGCATTTCTATTATCTCCAGCGTCCTGGATGTGTAACAAAGTATCTGAAGTGTTTTCCATTTCAATAGTTTATCAACAAAAATATTTTCATGGTTCAATATGCTGAATTTAGTTATTTTTCTTGTCACCTCATCATCATCATCAAGATTTTAGAACCAGTAGCATTAGCTTCTTTTACCTAGTTCCTATACATAAATTTCATGTGGAAAATGAGGTTTACTGCTCCTCCAGCTCCTCATCACTTTCTTGGCAATAAACAAATTGGTTTTAACTTGAACTGGGTGAGTAACCTGAAATGAAGGAAATAAATTCTGTAGATGTATGCTTTTAAACCTCTCCAAAGCCTAATGGTCTGCTTTTCTTCAGACACATGTGGAGAGCAGATTGGCAATAGCTGCACCTGGCAGGGAAGAAAAGTTTAAAAAGAACGAGAGCATCTGTTGCAGAAAACATTTGTTACTGGGAAGTAGAGTTCTAAACCATTTAATTTTCATGTGGTGGTGATTTGGAAGAGAACAGAATCCACTGTCCTGATGGTTGCAGTGTCCTTGTGTGATTTGGTCAGGCTATTGACAATTTTTACAGTGTTTTCAAAAAATAACGTTTTTACATGAAATTCATTTCCTTTGAGGAAATATAGTAGTATGCATGTTGGGTTTTTTGCCCATTGAATTGATGGGAGCGTTGTATTTTATAGCTTGCAGTGTAATACATCAGAAGAATGTTTGGCATTCTGGGTGAGTAGGGAGGGCAGGAAGTTTGCCAGAATGAAATGGGTGAGTCATTTTACAGAATAAAACAGATATTTTTTTTGTTGTCTTTGGTATTTTTTTTTCTTCCAATCTTAGCAAGAAGGCTCACTGTGTGCTCAGCACTGTCTGAATAATTTGCTACAAGGGGAATATTTTAGTCCTGTTGAGTTATCCTCCATCGCACAGCAGCTGGATGAAGAAGAAAGAATGAGAATGGCAGAGGGAGGAGTGTCTAGTGAAGAATATAGAACGTTTTTACAGGTAAAGTCTTCTTAATTTGAGGTTGCTTGATATGTGCCTGAAATCTAATATTGTGTAGCACAGACCTGCTATTCTTGCATAGGTAGAGAAGGTTAATTTCCTAGTGCTAAAACTTCTTAAATTTATAGGCCTTTTCATTCGTGCATCTTAAATTTGGCATTTTCAAATGTTACAAGTACAGCTTTACAGTAATTCTACAAAAAGCTACATCATCTTACAGGTAGGAAGGTCAGGCATGGCGAGGAGGAGGATCAGCAATTTGCCTTTTGTTTTTGTAAGCCACTGGCAGAGATAGGAACAGAAGTTCCCATGCCTGTCTGTCCTTTAAGCACTGAGCATTTCTAATTTAAAGGTTTGAGTTTTTAATTAAGCTTATTTGGGCATTGTAATCAGCCTTACAGACTAGGACATATTTAATTGTTGCTTTAAGTATGTGCAGTTATATTTATTTTCAAAACTGAATTATTTCTGACCTTTTATGCTTACACCACTTTTCCCTTTTTTCCCTCCCAACCTCACACTGAGCAGCAGCCTTCTGTAAATATGGATGATAGTGGATTCTTCTCAATTCAAGTAAGGATGGCTCTATACTGACAGAATTTTTTATTTATGCAATATATGTTCTCTCATGTAATTTAAATGTCATCGAGCTTTTTCATCTAGTTTCCAGTTTGTACGCTTAATGGGATTAAGCGCTGGACTTCTAAATCTTCAGAGTGTTTCCCATCAAGAGCAGTGACTTGCAGTTCTTCAGTTCATGGGCCCTTAAACACATGGTAGAAGCATGGACTCCTGAACTGTGAAATGACACCTCTGGGCAATAAGCTTGATTTCTAAGTTGTTTCGTATGGGCACTTCAGGTGTAGACCTTGGCTCCCATAGACTACAGGTGAAGAAGCAGACTTGAGATTATTTTCTCAAATTACAGACTGTAGAGCCCTTCGCAATGGTTACAGGGTTATCACAGTGATCTGCAGAATTGGAAAAGCTGTGATATCTGCATTTCAGTTGTTATAACACACTCCAGACACTTTAGAGCTGGTTTTTTTCGTGTTTTGTTTTTGGGGTTTTGTTTGTTTGTTTGTTTTATTTTTTTTTTAAGGACCATAATGGAAAAGTAATTAATAAGAAATACTTAAACCAGAACAACAACAACAAAAGGTATTGAACACTGAATTGGGGCTTGTGTCTAGACTAGAGCTATAGGCAATGCTTTGCACCTTTGGCTGTCTCCCAAGCTTTCAGAGGTGCTTGTCAATGTTCCAAAATCCCTCGAGAGCCTTTCTTCCTTATGGCAGGACAGGGCTCTTCTTCTGTGCAGTGAAAAAACCATTAACAATTTGGCATTTCTTGTATTCTTGATTGTGCTGCTACAATATTGAAGCTGAAAAAGAATGCTTCCTCATATTCTACTTTCTTTGTCCTGTCATTGCTTTGCTCACTTGCTACATAGTTGGCTCGCTGAAAGGAAGATGAATTGCTAATTTAAAATTCCTTACAGCATTACTTCAGATAGCTTGGAAGAGTTATTGTAAAAGAGTTTGTGCTAATGTACCTGACTGATCCTGTGACAATCCAGTGGTGCAAAATTTCCAGTAGTTACTGTGGGGAAGGATGACATTGTATTCAGGGGGAAGAGAGGGCAGAGCGGTACAAAGAGAGCAGAGACATGACAACTTAGGAAGTATCTGTGGGAGGTGCAGTTACAGCTTTGGGGGAGTAAGCTCATTACAACATTTCAGTTAAATCCTAGTTTTGTTACTTCCCCTTAGATATAGTATGTGCGTTATATTTGCATATAGATTCATGACAGTTGTGTTTTGAATAATGTGATTCCTAGGTTTCCTAGCAATGTTTTGAAATCTAAGTTTTATGGAAACAGTATAATTGTTTATAGCAGCTAGGATGGTTGCATTGCTTAAATTTAGAGTTGACCGGTTTGACTCATGAAAAGTGCTATTTTTTGACAGGTTATAAGCAATGCCTTGAAAGTTTGGGGTTTAGAACTAATCCTCTTCAACAGCCCAGAGTATCAGAGGCTTGGGATCGACCCTATGTAAGATGTTTTTTTCTTAGCACCCTGCTTTTATTTTACAGAAAAGTAATACTCTTAATCTATTATTTAAGTCTTTCTTTTAAATTACTATTTCAAGCTCTGCATTCTAATGTTTTTAGTATCCTCTCTGTCTTAATTTTTTTCATTTTGGGGGTGTATATGAGCATCTGTCCTCTGTGCTTTCATATCTCAGTATCTGTGGCATCACAGGTATATGGAGATTTCAGTAATGTTGACAACTTCCTAAATGTTATAAAAGCAGTATGAGTGCTCTGTAACATCAACAGCTGTATTACTGAAATTTTATTATATAAGTTTAAATTAGTGGTAGCAAAGATCTTAAACATTAATATGCATTCCAATATTAGAGTATTTAATTTTGTCTGTACCTTTTTTTTTCTTTTTACAGAAATGAAAAATCATTTATTTGTAATTATAAGGAACACTGGTTTACAGTTCGAAAGTTAGGAAAACAGGTGACATTGTCTTTTTTTATTTAAAAATTGACTTCAGAATGGGGGTGGAAAAGTGGTTACGAGCAGCCCACATGTTGGCCTTTTGCAAAGCTTTTGCTGCAGTTTGCTTTAATAATACCCCATATTAAAAAAAAAAAAAAAAAGAGTAAATGTTTATTATATCGCAAAAATGCCAGGCAGCTTTTTATGAATGTTAGCCTGGGGAAGAACCCTAGCATCAATTCCCCAGTCAACCTGTCCTCTAGGGAGCTGCAGCTCTGGTAGAGTCTGTGTGATGTCTTAAGCTCTTTTCTGCACAAAAAATAGTGGAAAAATTGTACAGGGGGAGAGGGAGGAGTCCTAGACAAGGATTAGGATCCCTATGGAATGCAAACTTATTTTAATGCAGTAAATTATTAACATTGTAAAAATAATTTTGCTCGTTTAAATGGACAGTAGGTATAAGAAAAAGTTCAAATTTCAAAGGTATTTATATTTATGATTGCTAGTATTTAAGATTATCCATCAGGATAAGGTTGGGGAAAGTAGAATCACAACTTTGCACTATTTTAGAAAACTTTCTGAAACAGTTGCATTATAAGCGGGAAATAGTCATTAAAGGTAAGGGATGGCCATACAAGTGTATGGTACATATATAACAACTCAAGTCACATCCATGTCCCTTGTAACACCAATGCAGTGTTTTATTTCAGTAGCCAATCATTGTTCTGGATCATACTGTATAAGCTTTTATACAACATAAGCGGGTTTGTTGTTTGCTTTTTTTTTTTGGTGTTTGCATGTTCATGAAATAAGCTTTTAGATTCTACAGTAGTGGACAGGAGTCTCTTTACCCATTTGGTTCATTTTGCAAGTGGTGGCTACCTATGTTGTCATCCAGTTTAAAAAAAAAAAAATTCACCTGTGAGTAAACAAACTAAACTCTGCTGTTCTGCTTTCGTTTAAAAGTATGGCTAATGTTTACAGGTATTTTTTTTATATTTGATATCAAAAAGGCTGGATGGTCTCTTAAAAATACGGGAATGTTCCTTACTATATATACAACCATGTTGGATGGAATTTTGTGAGATAGCATTCTATCCCAAAATGTTTTAAGTTGGAGGGAGGATGTCTTTTGCTTATACATGAGGCTTGTAACCGCATGAAGACTGGTGTCTGTTATCTAGAGATTAATGAGAAAAGATAGACAAAATAGGTTGACTTAGATTTGACCTGCTTCTCTTCTGTTGCAGTTACAGCAAAATTAGTTTACCAAACCTTCCTCCTACATATTCCCTTTTAAAAGTTTGTCTGAATCTGTCCGTTGTATTTGTTTACATAACTTTTTATTCCCCACTCCTACACTGTTGGTGGTCTTACCCTTTCCTAGTGGCAAAGGGTGTTTTTGGCAAATTAAGTGACTGAATGACAGAATGATAGATAGTCACTTACCTATATTCCAGATGAATTATAGTATGGGCCTGACTGTAAGTGTACATATATGGAAGCTTGGGTAGATAAATGCATTTTTGTGAGAATGGAGGTAGAATTCTCCTTCTACTATCTGAAATGGTGCTTCCTGGTTAAAATTGGATAATATTGGACGAGTATGGTATAAAAAAGGTTCTTTGGATTGATTGCAATATATATGGGGTTTTAAATGTAGAATATTTTTGTCATCCACGTTGAATATATTTTCTCTCTAGAAGAAGTATTATAAATGACTAGTTGTCTTCTTCAGGCAACTAGAAATGGTCTGAGTATATTCATCTCAAGTGTCCCCTATTGTAATATTATGCTGTACTATCAGCATATTAAATTTGAGCTCATTTTTCTTAATTTTTAAATTTAAAAATTATCTCAGAGAGAAGTAAACAATAGTTTTCAGCATCACCAGCTATTAAAGGCAGAATGTTTAATGAAAGTATTTCATGGAAAGAATTCAAATTCTGTTTCCTGTATCAATTTCTTAAGGTACAGCATTAACTTATGAAGGGTTTCTTCCTTCATTAGTCTCTGAACGGATTTAAAACTAGGATTAAGCAGAATTTTAGAATGATGTCTGAAATAATTCTTCTACCACTATATTTTGATTTATCTGTTTTAATCAGTTTGCCTGGTACCAGTGTTCAGTAATGGGAGAGAGCATGCAGTAATTTCCCCACTTCAGATCTCCTGTTAGCTGAAGAGTATTTGAAGGGTAACCTTTAGCAGTATAGGTATTGTGCTTCAAAAGACTTTTAATTTGATAATATATTTTACTAGATTTATTCGGATATTCCATCATAGAAAATGACCACAATGTACAGAAATGGATTACCAAGTAATCTTTATGCTAATTTGTTCTCTCAAACCTTTTTTTTCTTAATTACAGTGGTTTAACTTGAACTCTCTCTTGATGGGTCCAGAACTAATATCAGATACATATCTTGCACTTTTCTTGGCTCAATTACAACAGGAAGGTAATAGTAACTTGCAGATGTTAAATCTCATTAATTAAAAGTAGGTAATAATCATTATGTATTAGAACTTATGTATTCAGTTAACTACCCTTAGTTTTATGATTGAAGTAGTGAAATAACCCAAGTCCTTATAATGAAAGGTAGAGCCTTACATTGTAATAACTTGCACATCATTGTGTTCCATATAGTGTGCATTTTAGAGTGTTTATGCATGCACCTTAATGCTGTAGACTTACGATTTATTTTTCTCAGGTTATTCCATATTTGTAGTAAAAGGTGACCTGCCAGACTGTGAGGCTGATCAGCTATTGCAGATGATTCGGGTACAGCAGATGCAGCGACCAAAACTAATTGGAGAAGAGACAGCACAGTCAAGAGATCAGAGGTAAGGTAAATAGAGATTTCACTTTAATAGTGTTCAGTATGATTGGTTTCCGTGATTAATGCCTACATGGAGACAACCCCCTTAAGAAGTAGTTAGAAGTACCTTTAGTGCCATATGCTTACTGCTGTGGCACACAGTGAAAGCAAGTTGGTAGAATACAAATGGTGTATTTTTAAGTGGGCAAAAACTACCCTAATAAGGATTCAGTCTTTCTATGTGCGTAAGTGTTGCATAGATTTTTAACTTCATGATGACGATATTTTTCCAATTATAGTAAAATGGGTCAGCAAATCTTACCAAACTATGGTTAATAGAAGTCAACCTATAATTAAGACTGGCTTGTGCATTCTGTCGTAAGCAGAAAAGAATGAGAAATCTGTATCTGAATTCCATGTCATATAAATCATACAGCATTCCCTTTTGGAATAATTTCACTGTAAATGTGGTGTTGCTCTGTTGTGATGCATGCTGCTAATATAGAACATCCTTGAAAGCATATAAAGTACTGCTTCTGCAATAATTTTATCACATTTTCATAGTGAATAAATTGCACACTGATGTAAAGGCTTAAGGCTTTTCAGAGGAATTAATTCATTATTATTTCTTCTACTTTGTAAAGGTAAACTGGTGTTGTAAACTGATGGAGTAAAAACAAACTACTTGGCAGTAACATGGAAAGTGTGTATAGTTTACAGAGGATCTCTTGCTCTAGTGTGGTTATCAAAGCTTCCTAAGAAGGAGACCACATGCACTATTTTCTGCTGGTGTAACTGTTTAAATAGCAATAGGTTCGAATAACACGTATTATTGCTTTTTGTAGGCTTATTGTTTTTGAAGTTTTTCCTATCAAACAGACGCTTGTCAACAGGTGCATAGGTTTAGAGTTGCAGTATTTTCATTTTTCCAGCTGCAAGCTCTGCTTGCAGCCCTTTTGCGCTTTTTCATGTAGAAATTAAAATATTTGTTTATATAACAGATTTTCACAATGGAAATGTTTTTTCTGAAGTTAAAAAATAAAGTAGAGTTAAATCAGCAGAAAATATTTACTTTAAATCTCACAGTAAAAGTTCATATCACTTCTGTCTGAATTATGCCATAAATATATCAATTTCACAGGCTACCCAGAAGTGATGTGGACCAAGCAATAGAAGTTAGCCATCCTTTTGATGGAACAGGCATGTTAGATGAAGATGAAGAGAATTTTCAGAGAGCCCTGGCTCTAAGTAGGCAGGAAATTGATATGGAAGATGAAGAAGCTGATCTTCGCAGAGCCATTCAACTCAGCATGCAAGGTGCAGTGCTCATCTAAATTTCTTTTACAGCGTTCATGATGCTTATGCTTTAGGCAGCTACTGAAATCAGTTTCAGTCAGCCAGTTTTTCCAGCATGCATCAAGCTGTGTGAAAAGACTGGCTTTGAGGCATTGAAGGACAATCCAGAATTTCCTGTAGCTATCTCCTTTCTGCTTTTTGAAAAGTTGTAACTTTCATGTTAGCATTGATCATTAGGAAGCAAGAACAAATTGGCAAAGGGTGGCAGGAGGGAAGGGAAACAGTCCTAAGGTGAGGAGGAGAGATGGTATTAAGTGAAGTTAGCCTAGGTGCTTATTTCTCCAACAAGTCTCGTTCTTCCTCTCAAGTTTGAAGAAATTTTCTTAAGGTGTATTTCATTTACTAACTTCATTTTACTGTAATTAGTAGGATATGGCGTGTTCTGGTTTTAGGTAGTCGTCGAAGTGAGTTCTCGGGCTCATTACCACAGAATGTTCCTCAGTCGCCTCACACCAGTCAGACAGACTCCCTTTCTTCAGAAGAACTGCGAAAGAGAAGACAAGCATATTTTGAAAAGTAAAGTAGTTGATAGAAAACTGCATGTGGAAGTACATGTTGTATTTTTCAGTCCTTTTGGGGCATGGATGGGTTTCTGACTGAGGCCCAGCTTAACTTTTCTCTCCTAACATGCTTTTCTAACAGTACCTGAATTTTGCTATTCCCAGGTGGTTCCTACGAAAAGAAACCTGTAAATAAGAGGGGATGTGTTAGTAATGCAACATCAGTCTTGTGAAGAAAGAAAACATACATGTTACAGAAGTATTTTTAAATGAAATCCTGTAAATTTCTGTAATTATCTTCCTGAAGAAAAGTATTCTTTCTCTAAGACTTTGCTTCTGGTAATGATGCCTCTAATGTGCATCACATGAAAGCGTTCTAGATGATATTTTATGTTGCTGTTCTGGAGTACCTTCTTAATACATAGTTGGGGTATTGTTGTGGCTTTTCCTTGTCTCTGTCTCCTAGTGATGGAGGAAATAAAGACCAGGGAGAAATGCTATGGATGGGAGGAATTAGACTCTGCATGAGAGGATAAGAATGCAGAACAGCCGAATCCTGGGAAAATAGTAATGTGGCTTGGAATATAATGTTGGGAAGACACGTGTCTGGAGGTTAACAGGGTGCAACAATTGAGGACATTTTTAGGTGCAGGGGTGTTATTGCACCAAACAGCTTCTACTTCTCACTCTTGGCCTTCCTTACAATGAAATAGACTTGATGCAGGTCTCATACTGATGTTATTCTCTTATAAATTTATAACACTTTCAGGCAGCAACAACAGCTACAGCAGCAAGATCGGACCCCAAACCTACATGATAAGCCAACTCTAAGCTCAAGCACTCCGGAAGCTGACCCAGGTATTGTTTTTTAAACTTATTTCCAACACTGAAATATTTGTCTTTTTCACCTTTGTGTTGTGTTCTGTTTCCTAACTTTCCTTGTCTTCCTATTTCCTCACTCCAGCAGCCATTCAGACTATGTATCACAGCCATTATTCTTTTTGGCAGTGAAGGAAAGGATCACTTTCTTGAAAAGCCTGTTCTACTTCTAATGTCGATATCCTGTTTGTTCTGGTTTCAGCTGGGATGGAGTTAATTTTCTTCCTAGTAGCTGGTATAGTGCTGTGTTTTGGATTTAGGATGAGAACAATGTTGATAACACACTGATGTTTTAGGTGTTGCTAAGTAGTGTTTATACCAGTCAAGGGCTTTCCAGCTTCCCGTGCACTGCCAGGTGCACAGGAAGCTGGGAGGGGGCACAGCCAGGACAGCTGACCCAGACTGGCCAATTACAAATCGTAATCTTTGGATCTTTGGTGGGATTTGTGCCAACAATTTGTTTTCTAAATGACTTTTAAAGTTGCATGACAGTGTAATAAACTTGGAGTAATATCTCAGTATGTAGTCCTTACCAGTATTAGGTATTGGTGATCCCAAATTGATGTGTATTACTTGTTATAAACTGACCATTGTGGATGGAAAGCAAAGTGCAAAGTGTTCCATGATTTTAAAAAACAAAACCAAAACCAGCTTTGGGGGCAGGGTGGAAACAGGTGGGTGTGGACAAAAGGAACAGTGAAAGCATTTAACTACAGGTGAGAACTAGCTCTGTGTACTTATTACAACTTATATGCATTTATTTTCTTTAGGAGGTGATATGAGTGAAGAAGACATGCTTCAAGCAGCCATGAATATGTCTCTGGAATCTGTTAGAAACCACTTGAATACAGAAGAGGAGAAATGACATAACTTTTTTTTTTCCCCCTCTTATTGTCTAAACACTAAGTCTCCATTATAATTTTACTGTGTGGATGTTGCACAAGCAGGGTTCATTTCAGAGTTCTGGAAGCAAAAAAGAAAGGGGGACTGGAGGTCAGAGTTTAGAGGGAATCCGCAAATACAAAAAAGATTGCACTAATTTAGAAAACTGTAGCACTCCTACTGCAGAACATATGTTCACAAGAGTAGCTGTTTTAAAATTAAACTATTCACATGAACAAAGTTAGACACATGTAACAGCTGTAACTTGCATTTAAAAAGCAAGTTTAAATTGTTTTGAAGAATCCTATAGAAAACACAGAAGGTGCCACAAACCAGTATCAACTGATTTCCTTCAGTACTAACGGAAGAATAGATACAAGTAATAAGTTGTGCTCATAAATGACTGAGTTCTTTGTAAGAAAACATTTTAAATGGGGAAAAAAAGAATTAAATTCTGTTTATCTCAGATAATTTATTTTGTGATTGTTTATTATGAATGACTTAATGTCAACTCTTGCGATCCTGCTGTCCACTTTTGAAATGACCCATTCTGCAGGAGAAACATGAATCCATAAATTTCATACTTTGCAATTCAAGAGAAAATCTTCAGTATATTGTTGATTATGACGTTACTCCTGAATCATTCAGTGACTTCTGACCTAACACTTTCTGGTTTTCCTTTCAGTTCCAACTGTAGGTTTTACTTTCAGTTCCAACTGTAAAATTTTCAGATCCATGTTTAAAGTAAGATTTTTGCATTGCCCTATTGTCTTTTGGCAGATAACTTGCCTTCTTTGGTTTGGCTTTTTATTTGTTTTTGTTTTTTCATGCTCTTTCTAGTTATGCCACTGTCTTTGCTATAAAAGTAGCGTATAATCAGTTGGGTTAAACAGGTTTTCTTTTCTACCTCTTCTAGAGTCTTTTTTTCCTCTTCAAGTTCAACTCTTCATTCTGGCCTTTCAGTATGAAAGAGCTGTACCTGAGTCTAGGCGAAAGGAGGAGGCGATTTAGGTGCCATAAAGTCAGTGCCATACACATAAGGTGCA